TAAGTGCAGTTCTGACCCATAGTGACCCGGTATAGGATTTCCAAGGAGTGACTGGTGAATTTGAACTGCTAACCTTGCGATTCAAACTGACTTTGTGGTCGAACTCTTATCCTACAGTGCAGCACCAGGACTCCCTCGTTTCTTGCGCAGTACCTTTAAAAAAGATTTTCCTTTGCTCTTTATCTGGCTTTCTTCTGAACTGCCTGTTCTGCTTCCTACAGTCATTTCTGGAACACCAGTAGACACAGACAGCATTCTTTGATATATTTCTTCATCAGTTGTATTTTTGTTCATGACCTAATAATTATATTTTCATCCAGATTCCCTTATTGTATATTTTGTTTCCTTGTCAGACTCTAGAAAACATGTCTCCTCCACTGTTTCAAAGATCCCTGTGCAGATGTTATGTTACTAAAAAAAATTGAAACATGTTTCTTGTTAGATAATTGTTACTTAAAACATTTCCTAAAATGTAACTAATGGTCCCTCAAAAGAAACTCTTCCTATATGTCTTAATTAATGACTCATATCCTTCTCTGTAGGAAATCTCTCTACACTTCCATGTCCAAATCAAGTTGTTTTCTTACACATATCAACTGTTTTTCTATACATATCTATTACTCATATCAGTTGTGACTTTCTTGATAATAAAGAGATATATGAAAGACATATCTTAAATTTCTGTATTTTTACATTATATCAAATACAAGAATATCTCTTTCCATGATACAGACCACATGTAGAAAGAAGCCTATGTTTGATATATTTCTATAAATATTGTTGTTATTCATAGGTGTCTTCAAGTAGTTTCTAATTCATAGGATCAGTTATGCTATTGTATTCCTCCTAACATATTAAGATACTCATAAAATAAACATGTCAAAATAACAGATGGTTTGATAAGGACAAAGAATAAGTGAGTTTGATATCAAATTTTTACTAAGAGCCAACTGGTAAATATTGAGTATGTGGCTATAATCAATGTTGTCATTAGACAGAGACCAATATTACTTTCTTGGATCTCCTTTTGGACAGGAGAATGGGAGAGCTCCAATATTCTGTTCAGAGAATTATCAGCTCAGATACTTTGAAAAACCTGGAGTTATTTATATAGACTTTTGATCCCCACTATAAGAGGCTGGTAGTGTAGTGGTTACGAATCGGGCTGTGAACTGCAAGGTCAGCAGTCTAAAACTACCACCTGTTTCGCGGGAAAAAGATGAGGCGCTTGGCTCCTGTTAAGATTTGCAGCCTTGGAAACCCTGTGCAGAGTCACTATGAGTTTGAACCGACTCCATGGTACTTAACAACAACAACAACAACAACAACATAGGAGGCTTGGTGTGGCGCTGTGGGTTAATGCACCAAACTGCAAAGCCGTTTTAACGGAAAGGTTGGCGGTTCAAGCTCACCAGCTGCTCCATGGAAACCCTATACAGGGCCGCTATGGGTCAGAACCGACTAAACGGCACTTCACAACAACAACAACATAGGAATTATTCTCCATTTTAACATCAGCAGTTCAGATATACCAGTTGTTGTTGTTAAGTGCCATCAAATCTGAGTACCAGTAGATGTCATGATTGGACTCTTAATTAACATTTTCATTTTGTTTTTGCTTTTAGAATTAATGATGATAATAGCCAATTATCATTTTCTCCAGAGTCCCGAGGGCTCTATATCACCTCTGAATAAATGTTCTCTGTTATTAAAGAGCAAAGATAAAATCTTTGGAGAGATGGAGAAAAAAATTCTTGTTTTTCAAAAGAAAACCAGAAACTATAGCAAATGACCAGAATTTTTGTTAGGAAATTGATTATTTTAATTATAGGTAAATATCATATTTCTAGGTTTTATGCTAGGCAGTTAGACTCAATCCAGACATTATTGATTTTTCTTTATAGAAAATGTAGAAAAATGTGTTTGAAAATGATACCAACTGTATGTTGATTGGTAAGAGAGAAAGAGCAATCTACAATGTATACATTTGTTATTGAATGTTCCTAGAACAGGTTCTCCAGTGGGTGTGAGGAGGCAATGAAAATATATGGCTTAGAAAGAGAGAGATTTTGTTGTTGTTATCATTCTTGTCACATTTTATCTTGATGATATATAAGAAAAATTTCACAATGTGTCAGCCAAGAAAAATCTTGCAGATTTCTTGGAAAGTAAGTATTTGCAGTATGTTTTGTTTTGTGTAAAATAAGTACCAATGTGTGAGTATGTGACCATAATATCAAAGTAATTAAATTCATAAAAGAAACAAAGAAAATATTTCATAATTCACTAAAAAGTTTCAATATTCTTGTATGCATTAGTGTCTACATTTGTCTATTAGAATATCAATATTAACAAGAATTCTCAAATTGATTATAAACATTTTGAGTTATATATATTTCTTTGTGCTTAATAAAGGTGGATGTACTTTAATATTTTGAAAGTAAATTAGTTATTTCTCACATTGATCAACCTATTTTTGAAGCTGAAACTGACTGAATACCTGCGTAAAACCAATGTAAATTTCAAGTATAATTTCAACTTGATAGTTATATATATCAATTCTGAGGTTCATGTTGTACTCAAATTCATGAATGTTCTTCTTACTGAAAGAAATTATAATGAATAGTACCACAGAACCCTGAGGAGCTCTGGTAGCATAGTGGTTACAAATAGAGCTGGCAACCTCAAAGTCAGCAGTTTGAAGCTACCAGGGGTTCCAGGGGAGAAAGATGAGGCTTTCTGCGTCCATAAATATTTATAGCCTTGGAAACACTATACAGGGTCTCTGTGATTGGAACTGACTCCACAGCACATAACCGCCAGAGAACTAAAAGATAACATCAGAAGATTATGCATTTTAATTAACTGCAAATATTAGCTATTTCAAATGTAAAAGAGAAGTTTTATTAAGCTGGATAAAATTGAGTACACGATTACCTGAACAATAGATATAATTGAGATAATGAAATGCTTTCTTATAAATTCAGCAATGTTACAGGAGTTACTTCTCACCTTCTTGGACAAAACTTTAACCAGATAAATCTGTAGGTACTTACAAAGGAGATTTTAAAACATCTGAAAAACGAGTTCATAAATTTTTATACAAAGAAAGAAACATAATAAGCCAGATCAAACCTGAGTTCTGATTGTTTAAATTGTTAAAATGCTTAAAATCATAGGAGCAAAGCAGTTACAATCACAGGAGTAAAATAGCATATGCATTTCAATTGAATTACTTGATTCTTCCTATTTTAAATTATACTCAGTGACACAAATGTGAACTTAGAGCTATCTTTCTTTTATCCAGATGATGGAATTCCAAAGAAATTTCATCATGAGAAACCACTCACTGTTGACTACATTCTTTCTTACTGGACTAACTGATGATGCTGATTTGCAAATGGTGACTTTTCTTTTTCTATTTCTAACATATTTATTGAGTGTCACTGGAAACCTGACCATTATCTTGCTCACTCTACTAGATTCTCACCTCAAAACACCCATGTATTTCTTCCTCCGGAATTTTTCATTTTTAGAAATAATCTTTACATCTGTTTGCATCCCTCGCTATCTTGTCAGCATAGTGACCATCGATAAAATGATATCCTATGATGCTTGTGCAGCACAATTATTTTTTGTCATCTTCTTGGGTGCATCAGAATTTTTCCTGTTGGCTGCCATGTCCTATGATCGCTATGTGGCCATCTGCAAACCCTTGCATTATACAAACATTATGAACAGCAGAGTCTGCTCCCAAATGGTTGTTACCTCCTGGGTAGCTGGATTGTTAACAATCTCTCCTGCACTCATTATGGGCCTGGGGTTAGAATTTTGTGATGTCAATATTATTGACCACTTTTTGTGTGACTATTCTCCTATCCTAAAAATCTCCTGTTCAAACACTCAGGTGCTAGAATTGTTAGGTTTCATCTTAGCCATTTTCATACTGTTGATTACATTGACTATGGTCATACTCTCCTATGGAAACATTATAAGAACAATTCTGAAGATCCCTTCTGCCCAGCAGAGGAAGAAGGCTTTTTCAACTTGTTCCTCCCACATGATTGTTGTCTCCATCACTTATGGAAGCTGTATTTTTATGTATATTAAACCTTCTGCAGAAGAAAGGGTAGCTTTAAATAAAGGGATCGCTGTACTCAACACTTCAATTGCACCTGCTTTAAATCCTTTTATATACACCTTAAGAAATGAGCAGGTGAAACAAGCCTTGAAAGATATATTTAAAAAATATACTGCCTTCAAATAATAGCTTTGTTTTTTATTAAGAGATATCACTAAAGCTTATTGAATACTGCAGCCTATATCAACTACTCTCTTTTAATGCATCAATGTATCTTTACATTATGATTGTGACTGAAATCACTCTCAAGCATTCTTTGTATATCCAACCCACTCTTGTGTCTTACTCTCTTTGAGGTATATTTGATTTTGAAGACATATTTGGTATGCATTGCTGGAATCATGCCATTCTTTAAATTTCAGTCTTTTGTTCATCTTAAAAATATTTAATTATGAAATTACTTTGGAAATCCAATACTTTTATACTTTTCTGGTATAGACATGTTGAGATATAGACATTTTGTGACCTCTCAGTATAAAATTTATTTGAGTTTATAAATCTCTAGGAAATATTTCTTTCTTATACCATGCAATATTAACATCCCAAGACAATATGTGTTTTGGGAAATACAATAATGAATCTAAATAGAAGAATTAATGTTCAGGATTAATGAAGATGCTTTAAAAATCTCTTATCTCTTGATAACTGTATATCAGAAGAAGTTTTTTGTTTGTTTGTTTGTTTTGTTTAGAAAAGAGTACTTTATATCAGAAGCTAATTTAAAAAACCTATGTAGATTGTTAAGGAACTCTGGTAGCGTTGGAAACTACCAGCTGTTCCGCAGGAGAAAGTTGAGGCTTTCTGTCCCGTAAAGATTTACAGCCTCAGAAACCCTGTATAAGGTTGCTATGAGTCAGAACTGACTCCACGGGCACGTAACAACAAAAACAACAACATGTAGATTATTGGAGTTCGAGCATGGCACTGGTAGCGTAGTGGTTACGAATCGGGCTGCCAATCTCACGGTCAGCAGTTCGAAACTACCAGCCGTTCCGAGGCGTTCTGTTCCTATAAAGATTTACAGCCTCGGAAACCCTGTACAGGGTAGCTATGAGTCAGAACCGACTCAATGACACCTAACAACAACTCTGTCTATATGCCAATGTTATAGAGCAAGTAACTTTTAGAACTCAAATTTTCACCTAGGTTTAAAAGGTAAATAATTTTCAATTAACTACTGAGAAATATTGTTTATTTATTTGAATGTACATGCACCAATTAATCTAAAAAAATTGTAGCTAGATAAATATTTTAAATTGTTAAAAAATCATCCAGACATGATTGACTTTTTATACTTATAAGCTGCAAATTTTTTTGAGATACAAGTGTTTGTCCTACTAATTATACCTTTGCCTTGTCCCAGCTCAGATTTATGCTTAATATGGATTTAACTAACAGTTCTATTTTAGTTTATCTCTTTGCAGAACTCCTAGTATAACAATCTTTCTTTTCAACCTTTTCTTGTTATGTCATTTATTTCTTTTTGCCATTAAGTAAACTGTGATTTTTTTTGTCTTTACATTCCTCTTTTAATAAAACCATGTTTTAAGCAGTATTGAACTTGCCAAGAGATCTTTCAAACTTTCTTTGGAATCTGGGAGTTTTCTGAAACAGCATTTTATTTTTCAGGTTTTTTTTTTTCTTTTTCTTTTGTATTTCTACTATATGCGTTCCCTTTTTTAAAAATCTTCATGCCTATATTTCAGTGTGTTGGATGGTTATTATTTTTTCATAAACATCATTTTTCTTTCTGTTCATTTTACATAGATTTTTATTAGTTTTCTCTTTCTTCTTCTTTTTTTTTTTTCATGTAAGAGCCAAATCTTTAAATTTATTTATTTGTCCTGGTGTGGCACTGTGGGTTAATGCACTGGACTTCAAAGTCACTTTGAACCACAAGTTCAGCAGTTCAAGTTCACTAGACTTCTTCTTGGAAACCCTATACAAGGTTTCTATGAGACGGAATTGACTCAACAGCACTTAGCAACAACAAGAAGGCAGAATGTAGTACAACTAGCATTAATAATTTTTGCAACACAATTCACTCTGAATGAAGGAATAAGTGAAAAATTATAGTTATCAATATGCTATAGGGCTAACATTGTCTTTTTTTCCTTTTTTAGATTTGATTATATTCTCATTACAAGTACACTACTTTTTGTGGGATTGTTTCAAATTATTGCATTAGATTATCTACACTTTCTGTGGTTTTACTTTGTTCATGAGTGTGAGTATTTTCATCATCAGCTGTGTATTTGTGAATATTATATAACTATGGAGACAGGTGTTTCAGAAGAGAATTTTAGTCAGGTTTCTTTTAAATCTAAAAAGCTTTTTCTAAATTGTTGTTGGTTTTGCTAAATGACACCAGCTCCAACTATATAGGGTTTCTAAGGAGTGGTTGGTAGGTTTGAACCAATGTCCTATTGTTAGCAGTTCAGTGCTTTTCCTATAGTGCTATACTAGGACTCTTTCTTATACATGTTATTGTCATTATTAAGTGCCATTGAGTCAATTCCAACTCATAGGGATCTTGTATGTTTCCAAGGAGCAGCTAGTGAGTTTGAACCACCAACCTTGCGGTTCAAACAGACCTCATGGTCGAGTGTTTATACCACAGCACCACAATAGGACTCCTTTCCTCAACATAGTTACATAAATTAATTCTCATCCATCTTCTTCCTGGAAGAATTCTGCATTCTTTGAGCTCAAATTTGTTCCTTTTCATTGTTCTTGGAGTTATGGAACAAAAGGAATTATAAAGAGGCAAAATCAGGACTATAGGTTAAATGCGGTAAGATCTTCCAGCAAAGTTCTCATAAGACAACCCTTGCTGAACTCTAAGAATGGACAGGTACATTTTCATGATTGGAAGAAAAAAAAAAAATCCTCAGTGCAACATTCCTGATCTTTTTCTCACAAATGAAGTTTTCAATTTTCTTAAAGCATCTTCATAACAAGCACCTAGGACTACCTGGTGTCTTTTGAGAAAATCTCTCAGGATTACCCCTTTTAATCCTCCTAGTCACTATTATCTGAGCTAACCTCTCTATCATGAACAGAATCAGTCCAGCAATTCCCCTCTGAAGGCACTATTTCAATTGGACACATTTTTCAAAGGCACCCTAACAAGATTTATTGTTTTTGTTGTTAAGTACCATTGAATCAACTGTGACTTAAAGTGACCCTGTACAGGGATTCCAAGGAGTGGCTGGAGTGTTTGAACCACTGACCTTGCAGTTAGTGGTCCAGTGTTTATCCTACAGTGTCACACCAGGACTCCAGAAACAATAATTTTTTGTTTGCCCTTTATAGGTAGGAATAATTTGTTGTCATTAGGTGCTTTCTAGTTAGTTACTGCTCATAGTGACCCTAAGTACAACAGAATGACACTGCACAGTCAGTCCTACATCATCCTCAAAATTGTTGAAACCTTTGTTGCTATAACTGTGTTGTTACATCTTATTAGAGATCTTCCTTTTTTTTTTTTTTTTTTTGAGACTCCCCATTGTACCAAACATGATGTCCTTCTCCAGGGACTGGTCCCTCCTGATAACATGTCCAAAGTATGAGATATGAAGTGTCTACATCTAAGGAGCTTTCTGTCGGTATTTTTTTCTAAAACAGATTTCCAAGGCTATAACCAATATATTAGTCAAAATAACTATATGCTATAAGAATAGACTCTGATGGATAATTTAGACATATGTACAATTACATAGTCAATATCAAAATAGAGATGGACTAATATAAAACATAGAAATTACAGAAATAAAATAACAATTAAGGTGATCAAGAATGCTTTTCAGAGAATCCACAGGCTCACTACACCCAAGGAAGAACCAGTGACCTTGAAACTGTTTAATAGTAATCATAAACACAAATAGAAATAAAAGAAAGAGTGAAGAAAATCTAACAGCTGTGGAATTATATTAATCAGTTGAATATATGTGTAACTTAAATTCTACAAAGAGAAGAAAGAGACAATGGGTAGGATAATTCTTTAAACAGACAATTTGTCCAAATTAGTCACTGATGCAAATATCTCAGACCCTAAGGTCTCAGCTCACCACTTGTCTGTCAGTTTATCCTGCCAGGATTCTGGAAGCTATGACACTGATATTTTAAATACCAGTTGGGTGGGTCACCCATGGTGGACAGGTTTCAGCTTAGCTTCCAGATTAAGAAACACTAGATATAAGGAGAAACCAACTACTTCCGAATATTTCATTCCTGGCAAGCTGAGGAATAGCAGTGGAACACTTTCAGATAACATCAGAATATTGAATATTGACATATGATAAAAAGCACTAGAATAATGTGAGATGGAGTGTCAGATGATGAGCCCCTCAGGTTGGAAGGTCCTCAAACTATAACTGGGGAAAAACTGCCTCTTCAAAGTAGAGTTGACCATGAAGACACAAATGGAGTAAAGCCGTTGGGACCTTCATGAAAAGAAAGAGCTGTAATATTTATTATTCATTGGAACACAGAATGTGAAAAGTATGAATCTAGGAAAATTGGGAAGTGTCAAAAATGAAATGGAATGCATTAACATTTATATCCTAGGAATTAATGAGCTGAAATGGACAGATATTGGTCATTTTGAACCTGAAAATCATGTTGTTTATTATGCAGTGAATGATAAATTGAAGAGGAGAGGACTCACATTCATCATCAAAATAATAATAACAATAATTAATAATAACAATAACATCTGTCATAAAGTACAATGCTATCTATGATAGGATAATATCCATACACCTACAAGACAGACCAGCTAATACCATTATTATTCAAATTTACACATCAACCACTAAAGCCAGTGATGATGAAATCGATGAATTCAATCACCTTTTTCAGTTTGAAATTGATCAAACATGCAACCAAGATGTAGTGATAATGCAATCCCCTCCATGTAAGAACAGTTATCCCTCTTTCTCCCTATGATTCTTCTTTCCTTTCCACCCTCCTTCCTATCCTTTCACAACTTTGACCTTAGGAAAATGCAGCCTTTTTGTTCTTGGATAGCTGACCATTCCATGGTGAGCATACATTACTAGTGTTGTTGTTCCCAACACAAATGTGTCTACCACTTGGCTGAAAATTGGACCAAGAGGTTGAAT